TGTTACTTAAAATTTTTGAACAAGGCATTTTAAGTTGTTAGTTCTCCTTTATTGTGGTAGGTAGCAGAGCAGTACCATAAGAGGAGTAGAACAGGAAGAAGGTAGAATTGAGACCTTTCAAAGTTTTGGCCCAAGCGAGGGGGCAATGGGGGCATCATTTGAGCTCCCCGCCTCAGGTGCCAAAATGTTGTGGGCCGGCCCTACTCAGAGGCAAGCTTTAAAGGTGCTTCAGCAGCTAGATCTTGGTAGGCACTAACCCTCGTGGGCCCTAATAACCACTCAGACACCTGGCTAAAGGAAAGGGTATTATACTAGATCTGGCAAAAAAGATTGCAGATACTCTCGTGTGATTTCTTGGGGTGCCTAGGACTGTCACCTTGTTATCCCCCGGTCTCCAAGGAGAGAGAGAGAGAGACTTGCTGGTGCTTAACTAGGTATCAGCTCCATGATACCTCCAGTCTGTTGGCCACCCAAACAATGTCCTCTGAGCTCTTAATTTGCTTTTTAGGTTAATAGGTGTACCCTAGTCCTTGAGTCCCTTTGAAGCATTCTCCTGTGATATCCAGCCCATCACTGGCTACTCACAGAAATACCAGGTTTGCTATCTCCAAGGGGACAGTGCACACACCAGACTGTTTGAGTCAGCTGAGGATCAGCTCTTATATACCATCACAGCACTGAGATATTTATAGTGAAAACAATCATACATTTATTATCAAAGGTTAAGATTTAAGAAATAGTGACTAAGGATAATGGAAACAGAAAGATTACATATAAAACAAAATCCATACACTCTTTCTAGAGACTAAACTTAATTTTAATAGGCTAACCCAGAGGTTCTCAAACTGGGTCTCAAAGTGAGTTGCGACCCCATGGGGTTGCCAGGGGTGGCATTAGACTTGCTGGGGTGGAAGCTTCCACCCTGAGTGGTGGGGCTTGGGCTTTGGCGGGGCTCAAGCAGGCTATGGCTTCGGTCCCCCTTCCTGGGGTTGTGTAGTAATTTTTGTTGTCAGAAGGGGGTCGCGGAGCAATGAAGTTTGAGAACCCCTGGGTTAACCAGCCATCTAAAGCAGTCTATTCTTACCCAAAGCCTTCTTGCAGTGTTTGCAACCAAGGTTGGTTGGGATATCTTTTTCACAAATGTAATCACAATGCCCACATTTCCTCAGGTGCAGGGTAAATAAGTGTCCTTTTGCTTTTTTCATATATTCCCCAAAATCCATTGTTTGTCCCCGGAGTTAGCATGATCCCCTCACACCGCCACCCTGGGTTTATTCCCTGGTGTGCTGACTTCATGTTGATTTCACATGTAAACAGAGCTTCCATTGTGTTGGCTTACAATGCTTAATTTTACATGTGAACTGAGGCACACAGGTGAATAGACATCCTTTGGCTGGCAACCCTGCCTCCTGTCAACATAATAAACTACTTCTGTGAGCAGCAGAAGCTATGTTGGCAGGAGAAGTGCTTGCTGACATAGCACTGGCCACACCCACACTTATTTTGGTGTAACTTACGTCACTGTTTTATTCACACCTCTGAGCAACATCAATTATGCTGCAGAGTGACATAGCCTTAGGCAAATTTTAGCACATGTTGGGGGTGGGTGAGTTGCTACAACTTATAGATGTCTTCCTTTTCCACTCAACCCTTTCTAGATAGATCAATTTTGGTCTTTAATAACTGTCTTAAATATTCTGCAAAAAGAACAGGAGTACTTGTTCATTGTAAACCCTCTGGCTCGTTTCCTTTTCCGAAGCTCCTTCCTTTGGAAGCATTCTTTTTTCTGTTCCCTGTTCTTAAGATGACACAATTTGTGCAGTAATGTTTGGCTTTCCAGGCTGAAATAATGTGCAATGTATTTATTAACAGGAGATCTAAAGAAACCACTGTGGGCAGAGCATTTCCCTGAGTGACTCCCCTCTTTTCCCTTCACAGAATAAAGTTTCCTATTTCAGAGTTGTTTCCTGCTGGGATTTCCAGACTATAAAACACCATTTCTGTCCTCAGATTTAGAGAGAGACAAGGTGGGTGAGGTAATATCAAACTTATATTCAGGACTCCTCTATTTTACAAGTAGACCTGGACATCTAAACTTCCTCTATCAACTGACAGAGCAGCTCCTCTTAATGGGTATCAACTGACAAATTGTATATGTACACTGTTAGCCCTTGGACCAAATCAGTCAGCCCTGGAACTGTGTGTTGACCTCAGAAGGGGCTAAATTCAGGTTCTCCACGCCCGCCCACATCTAGTCATCGGCCCATTTAGGTGGTGAGACAAGACGTGACTGGTTGGTAAGGTGCAAGCAGGTGGGTTTAGTAACTGAATACAGGTGTACAAGTAAACAAGGCCCCCCAACTTAATGAAAACAGTACAAAACAGGCTCGGTTGTCAATGGATGGAATATGGCATAAAGCCAGAAACCAAAGGCCCTTACAGAAACAAGGGATCCACAATAAGAGTAATGAGAGTAACCACACTACCATGTCTCGTTGACAGCAGAAGATAAGCAGACTCCAAGGAAAGTAGGATTCAAGCTGACAGGATGCAGGATCAGGACCTTCAGAGACTCAGGAACCACACAGGTGAACAGGTAAGTCATTGGTGTTTCGTTGATCTTCTGTCTTCCACTCTTGACCCGTGGTCATGTGTGTAGTATGTGAACCTACAGTTGATGATTGTGTGAGAGGTCGGGATGGAATAAGTTCGAGTTCTGCAGACCTGGTCTGTCTTGGGGATTTCTAGCAGCCGTGCTCTTGTGTGGGTCACTGGACTGCTCCTCAGCTCAGTAGCAGAGATCCCAGTCAGGCTACTACCTCTGGCAGCCCTGAGGCAACAAGCAGCAAGTGGCGAGTAGCCCTGAAGGGTGGATGAACATCCCTTAAATAACTTCATTGTTACTAGGCAGACTTCGAGTCACCTGACTCTCCTATTTCCCCGCACTTCTAGAAAAGGGCACTAACTGTGGCATAAAGAAGGGTACCAAATATGGAGGCAAAGAACAACAAAGTAGAAACCAGTATGGCCAACATAAAACCATAGTTAGAAATTCTTCCCCAACAGCACATTCATTTCTCCTGGTATTGACAGCTGGGATTCCATAGGCTCCCTCCATCCCACCAGATTTTACATTCATTACTGGTACTGTAGCACTGTATATTAGAGTAGGTATCTTAGCAGAAAATGCCTTGCTAGTCACAGGGGAGAAAAAGACCCAAGGGCAGATCCTCAGATGGTGTAAATTGTCATAGCTCCATTGACTACAATGAAACTATGATATTTCATACCAGCTGAGGATCTGCCACCAAATCCTTTTCTGGCTGCTTCTGATAATATCATAGAACAATCAGAAATTAGGACGTTGAGAGAGATTTTGGAATTGTCTGCACTAAAAGAAATTTTAAAAAAAGTAGTTGGGGCCTGATCCTCAAATGTGCTGCTAGGGACTCACAATTCCTATTGAAACCAATGGGTAATGCTCAGTCCCACTCAGGCATAAGACCTAGGGCCTGATTCTCCACTGCCTTCTGCTTTTGGGCAATCATTTACACCAATGTAAAGTGAGTGCAAAAGGAGCAAATCCCTTGACTTGAATGGTGCAGAACTAGGTGCAGAAGGAGCAGGAAATAAAAACTACAAAGATTTAATTTAAAAAATTCAAACTGGTACAAATAAATATTGAACTTCAAGTGAAGAAACTCTTTTAAATTGGCTAACAAACAGCTGTGTCCTCTTCATAATACCCAGCTGTTGTCTCCCACTCCATGACAATATCAGAAGTTTTCTGCACCGTTTTCCCATGTGGTTCTGTTTGAAAGAATCCTTTTCATGGCTCACAAGGAGGAGCCCAAATAGATTTGAACAAATTCCAAAGAGCATGATCTAATGCCTATATTACTGTTACTTGTAGGTGCAGACAATCAACAAACGTGAAGTCAATTCAGAAACCATACTGGTGTGAAAAATGTCTTGTCTACTGTTGTGGTGACATTTCTAATGTCACATTGTGACAACAGAGAATAATATAGTAAAGGGCTTTTCTGTACAGTAGAATCAGTGTCTAGCTGGGGTCCCAGTGCTTCTATTTTTTTAAACTAATTTCCAGGCAAAGAATGGGACACACATATTGTCAGTAGGGCTGTCAAGTGATTACAAAAATTAATCGCGCAAATAATTGCATTGTTAAACAATAATAGAATACCATTTATTTAAATATTTTTCGATGTTTTCTACATTTTCAAATTACAACACAGAATACAAAGTGTAACAAGCAGCTCACTTGATATTTTTTATTACAAATATTTGCACAGTAAACAAAAATAGTATTTTTCAATTCCCCCATTACAAGTACTGTAGTGCAATCTCTTTATAATGCAAGTTGAATGTACAAATGTAGAATTATCTAAAAAAAAAACTGCATTAAAAATAAAACAATGTAAAACTTTGGAGCTTACAAGTCCGATCAGTCCTACTTCAGCCAATCAGGCAGACAAACAAGTTTGGTTACAATTTGCAGGCGATAATGCTGCCCGCTTCTTGTTTACAATGTCACCTGAAAGTGAGAACAGGCATTCGCATGGCACTGTTGTACCCGGCGTCGCAAGACATTTACATGCCAGATGTACTAAAGATTCATATGTCCCTTCATGCTTCAACACCATTTTAGAGGACGTACATCCATGCTGATGATGGATTCTACTCAATAACGATCCAAAGCAGAGCGGACCGACGCTTGTTCATTTTCATCATCTGAGTCAGATGCCACCAGCAGAAGATGGATTTTTTTTTGATGTTTCAGGTTCTGTAGCTTCCGCATCTGAGTATTGCTCTTTTAAGACTTCTGAAAGCATATTCCATAACTCGTCCCTCTCAGATTTTGAATGACACTTCAGATTCTTAAACCTGGGGTCGAGTGCTGTAGCTATTTTTAGAAATCTCACGTTGGTATCTTCTTTGCATTTTTGTCAAATCTGCTGTGAAAGTGTTCTTAAAATGAACATGTGCTGGGTCATCATCCGAGACTACTATAAGATGAAATATATGGCAGAATGTGGGTAAAACCGAACAGGAGACATAAAATTCTCCTCCAAGGAGTTCAGTCTCAAATTTAATTAACACATTATTATTTTTTTTT